ATTTGTTGCCAAGCTGCTGAAATTGTGTTGGATAATCACATTACATTGAGCTAAACTGTTGCTTTTTTTTTATAGTCATGGCTTCATAACACATGGCCTGAGACACTTCTTGCTCAAAAGGAAAGTGCGAGATAAAGGTGCTTTATATAAATAAATAACCAACGCACACCGGAACAATATAACAATAAATTAAATAAGAAATTTTTTGAAAGGCGTTCCAAGGACAACGGGCAGTTAACGATTTGTTGCGAATAGAACATTGCCTGATGAAGGATCCAGTGGAATCCGAAAATGTTTGCAATTGAAAGTCTTTCACATCGGTCATAGGTTTGGAGAAAATTTATTGTTAAAGGTGCTTTATTTTAAAAAATTGCCAGGATGAATTTACTTTTACAAAAAAATATATTTCTTGAGACTACACATACAGGATGAGTCAATTTCATTCGGTCTCTTCACACGCTGTTGAGGTAATAACAATTTCATGGCAGAGTTGAACTTCTATTGTAGGCTACTTCTCTGCCATCCAATGCAAACAAGTTAAAATAGTCCTCTAGTGATGGCACAATGATAAAATTAATAAATACATTTTAAAAATTGGTGGTACAGATTTACTTTTACAAAAAATATAATGAAATTGACTCATCCTGTATGTATAGTCTCAAGAAATAATATTTTTTTATAAAAGGTGCTTTAGTACAATGGTTCTCAAAGTGCTTGCTACCACTCCTGGGGGGCAGTGAGTAAATCTAAGAGGCAGAAAGATTCAAGGGGGTGGCAGGGGGACATTGGAAGCAGGGTCCTAATCTAATGATGACTGTAGTCTAGGATTGGACAAAGATCTGGTTAGCATAACTGGCAATGCAACTGCATGATAAGTTGAAGTCGAGGTTTCAAGTCCCACTTCAGGCAGATTCTTTTCTTCCAGAATCTTCTAATTATTAAAATATTAATTTAATTATAATTATTAAATTTAGCAAGAGATAGCACTTAATGTCTGCCTCTAGTACCAAATTACTTAGCATTTAATTAATAATAATAGTAGTAATGTAGCCCAATATAGTCTGGCAATCATTTGGCTTTAATATATAACTATCAGGTTTAAGATGTTTATATTTGTACATATTTACTATATTAGAATTTAAAAGAAATTGCAGTGAGTCAATTTCAGATTAATATTTAGTTATAAAATTTTTAATTACAAATTTAATTAACTAATGATTTAAATTTTTAGTATATGAAACTGTTAAAGCTGTTATTTATATGATTTAGAATTCTATAATAAGAAATAGAAAATATAATTATTTAATTTTATAATGCTTAATACAAGAAAATTAATAATAGTAATTTTTCAGTTTATAAGAATCCAAACAAAAACATTTGATATGTAAAAAAAATTATGCCAAGTAAACATGACAATTTAGACAATGGTCAAAATTTTTCTTAGCAGTTTTTCGTTGGTAAAGATAAGCTTGGAGGTGTTTGAATTGTATTTGGGGAAGCCTTTGTCCAATCCTAGACTACAGTCATCATTAGATTAGGACCCTGCTTCCAATGTCCCCCTGCCACCCCCTTGAATCTTTCTGCCTCTTAGATTTACTCACTGCCCCTCCAGGAGTGGTAGCAAGCACCTCCAAGCTTATCTTTACCAAAGAAAAATATGCGGAGGTGAAATGTAGAAAACAATAATACAGGTAAAATTCCTGTAGGTACCACTTCCAAGAACCAAGTTTATCTTTATCAAAGAAAAACTGCTAAGAAAAATTTTGGCTATTGTCTAAATTGTCATAAATGTTTACTTGGCATAATTTTTTTACATCTCAGATGTTTTTGTTTAATAATTGTATTATTATGTCAAGACATAAGACAATGATGTACAATTCAGTTGACACTCAGAGAGTGATCATGCTGCCAACCAAACACTTTCAATATTCACATCAGTTGGCACCAACCGACACTTTTGATATACCATTTAAAAAAATCATTATAAAAAGTTTTAATTTGCATAAATTTGAGCTTTTGTAATTCTGAGTAATATTTTGAATAAAATTCATTTGGTTCCATGCAATTTTATCTTTATAAAATTAAGCCGTAAAACTGAATTAGCTGTATGGGAAACCACTGTGAACTTTGACCTATCAACCCAAGTTTTGCAAGCACCTCATTGATAACAAGCAAGGCTTAAGTTTAAAATCTGAGCTTTCTAGACCCAGTAGTTTTTTCTCTACAAGTGTCTGCAGTGCTGAATGAAGAATAAAATACAGCAATACAGCTTGTTTTTGGTGATTTTTGCACTTCAACTGCTTATATTTTGGCAACTGCATTATAGAAAATTTTGAAATTTTGCACACTACCTAAGAAAACAATTTTCTTTCAAATGAGATATTTGGAATTACTTGAGGATGGAGAAATAAACCCTCAAAAATCAGAACTCTGATTCTTGTGCAGTCAGTCAGTTAGTGACCTTTTTTTACTTAGCAAAAGAATTTTATAATTTACTTGTTCCTAATATACAACAGTTGACACTAATAAAAAGTAAAAAGTATTTCCATATCTACCTTTTTTCTCTTATTTTGGAATGATAAAGTATTTCCATCATAATAAGTAATAAAAAATGACAATTTTTGTATAATCAAGTATGGAATTTTATATTTTCTAACCAAAATTTCCTTTTTATATATAAATGGATTTTGGCCATCATCTACAAAACGTTTTTCCTTATTTTAAACTTTTAAATAAAAATTTAATTTGAATGACTGTCAGAAAGACTAAAGCATTTCCACAACTAGAATAAACAAAATCATTGAAACTATTAAAAACACAATATACAAGAGAAAACTCAATTTTTTATTAAAAGGCTTCCCCAAATACAATTCAAACAAAATCATCATGCTTGAAAATCATTCTGAGTCAATTATATTAATTTTGTTTGAATTGTTTATACCTGTAGCTTTTAATGACAAAAAATAATAGCTTGCAAGCCTTGTTATACCACAAAATATTAAATACTTTTATCACAAATACAAATATGAACATCTTTACTAAATCCATTACATAGCAATAACACCCACAACTGCCGTAAACCATCAAGCTATAATTTGGCAGCAATAATTATAAATTACTAATAAATTCGGCCCTACAGGAAGGTGTTAGGGCCAATTCTTTTCTTCCAGTTTAATCTAAAATTATGTAATTAAATCATAATTATTGAATTTAATACAAGATGGTACCTAACGCCGCCCTCTAGGGCCAAATTTATTAGTAATTTATAATTATTATTGACAAATTATAACCCAACCGTTTATGGTAGTCAAATGTGTTATTTTTATTACAAATTCCAAAAATATTCCTAGAAAATTCAATTAATAGAACGAAAACCGAATGTAAACAAGTTTTTTTTTTTTTAAATATAAAAATACGTAAATAATCTCAAAAATCAAAATAATCTCAGAAAAACTAAATTAACTGAAGTTCCACAATTTATATTTTGTAAGGTATATCAATAGCTGCGTTCAGCAAACTCAACAGTTCCAAAGCTTTTGAGTACTTTTCTGCCAAACGCCCTCTATAGCAGTGGTTCTCAATCTGCGGAACATGGGTGCTCCATGGAGCAACTTCAAGTGCTCTGTGAAAAAATTAAATATACAATTAAAAATTATTACAAAAAAATCAATACAATGTAAAATAATTTTTGTATGGGAATGTAATCAGCAAATGCCAATGACATCATATACTACACTGAGGGTGTGTTTGGAAATTGTAACCAGTGTTACCGGTAACTGCTGGTAGTTATCAAGGCATTTAGAAAATGTGACGTAAATAACCAACTGCATTTAAAAAAAAAAATCACTGTTATGAGCCATAGTGATTTTTAAACACGGTTATTTACATCACATTTTCTAAATGCCTTGATAAATACCGGCAGTTATCAGTAACACTGGTTACAATTTCCAAACTGCTGTGTGCTGTTGATTTCAAAAGGGTTTGCCACTCCTGCTTTAAAGTTGTTGTATTGTAAGTGTTCCGAAAAAAAAAAAAAAAAAAGTCGAAGTTTAGTGTTCGCCGACTTTAATTAAAAAAATTGGGGTCTGACCAGTGTCCAAGCGGTCTTCGTTCCCTGGACACTGGGAGTTTGGTTGTGGGTTTGCACCTCACTCAGACGGACTGGCCATGTGGTGTTTTCCAGGTTTTCTCCATGTCTAATGCTTAAATGGGGGCCAGTTTCTCTTAAACAAGATCTCCCGGAAGGCACATGCCATAACTAAACAAACAATTAAAACAATTGAGAACCATGGCTCTACATTAGTGCTCCTTCGGAACACATTTGGTGTTTCGACATCACATTTGAGTCTTTCATTTACACTACCTATCGCTACCCAAAACTGACCAACAAGGCTTTTTGTTCCAATGCTTTCTCATCATTCAACAATCCGAGTTGCTACATAACAGCTACCGACTTGCTTGGTTACAACTGTCGAGTCTGCCAAACACAGCCAATCAATCAATAGGGCGGCAACCCACAACCTCAATCTTCCAAGTACAAATAACGTATTGACTTACAATTCATTCGTTCTTCCCACTTTAAAATCCAATGGTAAAGAAGACTGAAGACTTAAAAGCAATTGCATTAGACTTATTGATATTTAAAATGAAGTTGATTTATTTATTAATTTAAATGGGCGTGTTTAACTTTTACAACTTAAACCTGCGTATACCTCATTTTCTAATTTTCAAGCATGAAATTAGCTGTAAAGGTTACCTTTAAGTCATTCATTTGTGTGCTTATACGAGCCAAACACCTGAAAGTAACCTCTACTAAATTAGCAATAGACACACAAATTCATATTTACCAAATGAAATTCCTAATAAGGTCATTTATACAATTTTCTTAAAAAATTAATTGTTTTATACGTTAAACGAAGCGAGTGTACGTTAAGCTAAGTAAATATTAATATAATATAATTAAACAGTGAATTTTCTGTAAAGAAAGTTAAAATTTTCACCTTTGAAATCACATCTGCATGGCTAAAACGCGATTCACGTTTGCCGAACGAAAACTTTCGGAAGACGTTAAGTTTTATCCGCCCAAATTTAGACAAATATATTTTTAAATATAAATTTATAAATAATCGAAATTAATATACGTGTGAATTTTTTATGTAAATTAATAATATTTATTAATTTTTAGAATTTAATAGAGAATATTTCATAGTTATTTTTGTCGAAATTTATGCATGTTTCGTAAATGATACTGAATTCAGAGATATGGTTTTTTGATTAAATGTTAAGCAATAAAATAAAAATTGACTGTATCCAAATTATATTTTAATTTCGAACCGCCGCTCTAGTTATATTTCTTTATGATCTATCATAAAGAAATATAACTAGAGCGGCGGTTTTGTATTGAGCCGCTTGTTCTCTCTGATGCACTTTGTACGGGCGCACAGGAGCGCCCGTACGTTGGGGAACTTGGGGCATGTGTCCCCTCTTTCGTCTTGGATGCTCTTTTCCTAATCTTGAAGCAGGCCCGAAATTCCATTATCAACGAACAATTGAAAATTCATGACTTCTAGCCTATTCTGCAAATATTGATATAAAAATTAAACTTAATATTTATTTGATGAATAATCAATATTTCTTGTGATTACAATTCAAGGGTTCCATGAAACAAGATGTCTAAGTGCACTCTTTTCAGTAAAGTGTTTTATGTACAGTACAGTCGACCCCCCTATAACACTGTTTATAATTCCGTTTTATATGAACTCCATGTTGTACGAGTCACTTAGATTTTACAAACACGTGTGCCGGGCTGTGAACGGCTCTCGTATGTTGGCCATACCTGCCGTAGACCATCACTGACGCGCAATTGACTGATTGCCCCTGGATGTCGGCTTCTTACTGAAACACAGCTTCACTATCATCAAATGTCACGGCACGCCTCTGCTGTTTTCCACCACCTATCAACAATAACTTAATCAACGGACTTTCAAGAAAATAAAACTCATCAAGTTCGTCCATTTTGCTGAGAGGCAGAAAGGTACTGACTGTCAGAAAACGCACACAGTGTAACCACCTTGTTCTGACGAGGATTTCGGACGTACTCGTCAGAACAAAATTTCGTCAGACTTCGCATCCATAATAACCGTAGCCTTAGAACAGTAGGTTGCTATCGTGACCGCTCGACCATCCGGCCGTCACCAGAATGCTTATGTGAAGGGGTAGGATTTATTTATAACATGATGAGGATTTCAAGGTCGTTTTCGCTGTTATTGTCACCACCTGAAAAACGCTTTTACCTACGTTTTCAAATCTGCCGCTGCGATCAGGTCACAACTCTGGCCCCTCACATATAAAATAATGCAACGCACTAGAGCTGAGTTTCTCAACGTGGGACGTTAGGGGCAATTTGGTTGTTTTGGGGGCAACCAAAACAACCAAAGAAAATAATTAATATTTTCTTTGGTTAAAATTAATAATTAATAATTAATATTTGTTACATATATAGGCCTATATATACAGTAGAGCGTCGATTATCCGAATCGATTGGGGACTGGGGTTGTTCGGAAGATCGATGTTTCGGATAACCGATCATGCACGGAAAATATATTAATTTATACCATCTTGACATTTTTCTCCGTTCTGTGTCGCTTCGCGTTGAATTTTCGTCGATGTTAAGCCTCACGAAGACTATTGTATCATTAAAAATTATTTTTTTATTTTGTACGAACAAAATAAATATATCGAAAAATATAAAAACAATAAAAAATTATACTTCAGAAGTTTATTTAGTATCAAAAACGTAAAATATTTGAGTAGCCAAGACATAGCCAAAGATTGCAGCGCCACAGCACTGGCGAAAATTTAAATTCGCCGACTGGAATTCTTTCGGATGATTGACTTTCGGATAATCGACGCTCTACTGTATTCTGAAAATTTATTTGCTTTTTTTTTAATATATATAGTCGCACCCTTAGATATAGGAGGTTAGCACACAGAGAATAGGATCAAGATCGAAATTGGAGAGTGGTGAAACTATTCGGAAGCAACTCCAAAGTTATTTGTGAAAACGAGAGATCCAAGAAGATATTTTGGAAGGACATCGTGATCGGATTCAATTTGCTTATAGAAAGTTTGTTTAGTTATGGCAACGCAACACTTGGGCGATCTGCCTAGGGGAATGCCTTCCGGGAGGTCTTTTTAAGGGAAACTGGCCCCTATTTAGGCGTTACAGACGTGGAGAAACCCGGAAAACTCTACGTGGCCTGCCCGTCCGAGCGAGGCGCGAACCCACGACCGAACTCCGCTTGGCCACTGGTGGGTCCCTTATCTAAAGATACGTGGAACTCCGGGTACCATCTTTCCTAAATTTTTTTTTTCCCTTCTTAATCTTGCTCTATCCGCCTGTTTTCTCTGTTTAGTATTAACATGGTAGTCTGATGTTCTGAAGAGCCGGGATCGAATCCAGACGAGTCGAAAAGCGTAGGAATCTCTCGGGGATGATCTATCTAAATATATGGGCCCAGTTCTTCGCCACCTAACCACCTAACCGAACCCATAATGGGCTTTCTAAAATGCTAAAAAGATCCTCAGTGCATACAGGGCACAAAGAGTTAATAAATACAGATAATATCTTTAAACTATCGATTGTATGGAATAAAACTAGCAAGACTGAATTAACAAATTTTTAAAATTTTATTTTTTCTATCGAAATATTATTTGATATATTTGGATTTAGTTTCTTTAAAAATATATTTCGAACTCAAATTAGAAAAAAAAATTCCTCCCAAGAATGGCGCTGAAGTGCAGAAGAGGTAAATAGAGAATATTTCATAGTTATTTTTGTCGAAATTTATGCATGTTTCGTAAATGATACTGAATTCAGAGATATGGTTTTTTGATTAAATGTTAAGCAATAAAATAAAAATTGACTGTATCCAAATTATATTTTAATTTCGAACCGCCGCTCTAGTTATATTTCTTTATGATCTATCATAAAGAAATATAACTAGAGCGGCGGTTTTGTATTGAGCCGCTTGTTCTCTCTGATGCACTTTGTACGGGCGCACAGGAGCGCCCGTACGTTGGGGAACTTGGGGCATGTGTCCCCTCTTTCGTCTTGGATGCTCTTTTCCTAATCTTGAAGCAGGCCCGAAATTCCATTATCAACGAACAATTGAAAATTCATGACTTCTAGCCTATTCTGCAAATATTGATATAAAAATTAAACTTAATATTTATTTGATGAATAATCAATATTTCTTGTGATTACAATTCAAGGGTTCCATGAAACAAGATGTCTAAGTGCACTCTTTTCAGTAAAGTGTTTTATGTACAGTACAGTCGACCCCCCTATAACACTGTTTATAATTCCGTTTTATATGAACTCCATGTTGTACGAGTCACTTAGATTTTACAAACACGTGTGCCGGGCTGTGAACGGCTCTCGTATGTTGGCCATACCTGCCGTAGACCATCACTGACGCGCAATTGACTGATTGCCCCTGGATGTCGGCTTCTTACTGAAACACAGCTTCACTATCATCAAATGTCACGGCACGCCTCTGCTGTTTTCCACCACCTATCAACAATAACTTAATCAACGGACTTTCAAGAAAATAAAACTCATCAAGTTCGTCCATTTTGCTGGGAGGCAGAAAGGTACTGACTGTCAGAAAACGCGCACAGTGTAACTACCTTGTTCTGACGAGGATTTCGGACGTACTCGTCAGAACAAAATTTCGTCAGACTTCGCATCCATAATAACCGTAGCCTTAGAACAGTAGGTTGCTATCGTGACCGCTCGACCATCCGGCCGTCACCAGAATGCTTATGTGAAGGGGTAGGATTTATTTATAACATGATGAGGATTTCAAGGTCGTTTTCGCTGTTATTGTCACCACCTGAAAAACGCTTTTACCTACGTTTTCAAATCTGCCGCTGCGATCAGGTCACAACTCTGGCCCCTCACATATAAAATAATGCAACGCACTAGAGCTGAGTTTCTCAACGTGGGACGTTAGGGGCAATTTGGTTGTTTTGGGGGCAACCAAAACAACCAAAGAAAATAATTAATATTTTCTTTGGTTAAAATTAATAATTAATAATTAATATTTGTTACATATATAGGCCTATATATACAGTAGAGCGTCGATTATCCGAATCGATTGGGGACTGGGGTTGTTCGGAAGATCGATGTTTCGGATAACCGATCATGCACGGAAAATATATTAATTTATACCATCTTGACATTTTTCTCCGTTCTGTGTCGCTTCGCGTTGAATTTTCGTCGATGTTAAGCCTCACGAAGACTATTGTATCATTAAAAATTATTTTTTTATTTTGTACGAACAAAATAAATATATCGAAAAATATAAAAACAATAAAAAATTATACTTCAGAAGTTTATTTAGTATCAAAAACGTAAAATATTTGAGTAGCCAAGACATAGCCAAAGATTGCAGCGCCACAGCACTGGCGAAAATTTAAATTCGCCGACTGGAATTCTTTCGGATGATTGACTTTCGGATAATCGACGCTCTACTGTATTCTGAAAATTTATTTGCTTTTTTTTTAATATATATAGTCGCACCCTTAGATATAGGAGGTTAGCACACAGAGAATAGGATCAAGATCGAAATTGGAGAGTGGTGAAACTATTCGGAAGCAACTCCAAAGTTATTTGTGAAAACGAGAGATCCAAGAAGATATTTTGGAAGGACATCGTGATCGGATTCAATTTGCTTATAGAAAGTTTGTTTAGTTATGGCAACGCAACACTTGGGCGATCTGCCTAGGGGAATGCCTTCCGGGAGGTCTTTTTAAGGGAAACTGGCCCCTATTTAGGCGTTACAGACGTGGAGAAACCCGGAAAACTCTACGTGGCCTGCCCGTCCGAGCGAGGCGCGAACCCACGACCGAACTCCGCTTGGCCACTGGTGGGTCCCTTATCTAAAGATACGTGGAACTCCGGGTACCATCTTTCCTAAATTTTTTTTTCCCTTTCTTAATCTTGCTCTATCCGCCTGTTTTCTCTGTTTAGTATTAACATGGTAGTCTGATGTTCTGAAGAGCCGGGATCGAATCCAGACGAGTCGAAAAGCGTAGGAATCTCTCGGGGATGATCTATCTAAATATATGGGCCCAGTTCTTCGCCACCTAACCACCTAACCGAACCCATAATGGGCTTTCTAAAATGCTAAAAAGATCCTCAGTGCATACAGGGCACAAAGAGTTAATAAATAATATCTTTAAACTATCGATTGTATGGAATAAAACTAGCAAGACTGAATTAACAAATTTTTAAAATTTTATTTTTTCTATCGAAATATTATTTGATATATTTGGATTTAGTTTCTTTAAAAATATATTTCGAACTCAAATTAGAAAAAAAAATTCCTCCCAAGAATGGCGCTGAAGTGCAGAAGAGGAGGATCTAAGATGGAGGCCGGCAGCTGTAGTTCAATAACCTGTCATAGGAATACGTGAGAATGTATTGTGTGTTTTAATCAAACAAAACTGATTATAAACATGGGTGAAACAAGCGATATTAGTGTTAAATATCAGAAACTAGCAGCGGAATATTCAAAGGTAAGTTTTAAAATATAATTTTGTTTGATATTGCATTTTGATTCGAAATTTATTGTAATATTAATAAAAATATAGAATTTGATTCTGATGAAACCGTGTTGTTGTTATTAAGCTGTTTCTTTGCAGACACACTAAGGTGACATATATCAACACTTGGCAACTTATTGACTATTTATTCAGTTGGGACGCCTTTTACATTACGCGTTTCGGGCATTGGCCCCTCTTCAGCCAACTANTCAATAAGTTGCCAAGTGTTGATATATGTCACCTTAGTGTGTCTGCAAAGAAACAGCTTAATAACAACAACACGGTTTCATCAGAATCAAACGAAATTGTTAATATAGAAACGGCAGTTATCGACCAAAAGAAAAGGAAAACATGTGTACAGTTCATTATCAAGAAAAGATACAAGTTGGCTGAAGAGGGGCCAATGCCCGAAACGCGTAATGTAAAAGGCGTCCCAACTGAATAAATAGTCAATAAGTTGCCAAGTGTTGATATATGTCACCTTAGTGTGTCTGCAAAGAAACAAAAAATATAGAATATTAAGACCATTCATTTTTAATGTTTATATGTAGATTTTTATATAATTGTAATACATATGAATTATAACAGGTCTTTTTTTTAATAATTATATTTCTTTAAACAAAATTAAATGACGAAATATAATTTAATATCTTTTATTCCTGTTGGTATCATATAAGCAACATATAAATAACAATATGCAATGCAAAAAATCAAATGTTAGTGCATTGGCAATGAGGAAAAAAATGATAATGTTTATTTGTTTGACAAGTCTTTACTTCACCTTATTAGTCCCACTCTTGCGGTTGCTACGCAGATTGCTTTTTACCACTTTTCCCTACCCTTTGTCAAATTTCGATCAATTCCAAGAGTATAAATATCATTGAGCACATGATCAAACTGTTATCTTCTTGGTCTACCACTTCTCCTCTTTCTGGGTTTTGTTTTTGTCGTAAGTTTTCCGACATAATTCGAACCAAATTATTGCTTTTACTTGTTTATTCGGTAAGTAAATGCAATAATTTTCAGTAAGTGGAATTTCTGGGATTTTGAAAATATGGATGCTACTCAAGTAGATTTAAGCAGATACCAAGGAACATGCCACTGTGGGCCCCATTGCATAAAATGATTGTAGCTTTAAAAGTTACAAATTGCAAAAAAAAATGTTTTGTAATATGATACAAGCTACTAGTCACAAGCAGTTTTAATTGCATAAAGTTATTTATAATGACGTGCTGGATTTATATTTATTTAAAATTGCAATATATGCACATAAATATGCAAGTAAAAATGCCTAAAATATGCATTATGCATGTTAAAAGCATCACTAATATACACTAAAATCTGTAGGTTGAAATGTATAATGTACTTTTCTGTCTGTGAGCAAATCCTACTAGAGTCTATTACATTACTTTTTAGGTAGGAGAGATAAACATACAACAGTAAGCGACATGAGGGATTTGAAAATTATGATGTCACAAAACATATATTAGAATGTTTTATGTAGGAGATGCAGAATCAAGTCAATTACAAATAAAATTTTGTGATCAACAAAATTTTATAATTTTCTATGCTATTTAATCAATCATTATTGAATTTATTTCTATATACAGTATACAATTGAAGAGCCTATTTCCAAAGCAACTTATCTCCATGGAAGATGTTTATTTCTTATCTCCATGAAATATCCTTTTGAGAAAACAAGAAAATATGTTCTTGTTTTCTCAAAAGGATTTTTCATGGAGATAAGTTATTGAGAAATATTGTTTATAACATAACATATATTTTAAAATGCTTTACAAAAACATAAACTAAATGATTTTACAAATTAGTAAAAAAAGTAACTTTTGTCAGAATATTATTACATGCACTAAGCACTATATATATATATATAAAATTAATTTTATTTTAATAAAATAAAGAGAGATATGAATTCCTATCTGAAAGGATTAATTTCTTATTAAAACTTATTAATTATACAGAAAAATAACAGAGAAATGGATATATTGAAGAGTGGGTATCAAATGTTCAATTAGTAATAGAATAGAAATTATATATAATGTACAGTACATTTCAATACTTAGAAAATCTGTATTAACTTTAATATATATAAAATCAATAGAAAACAAACAAAATAAATTTCTATATGTAATAAAATTGTAGGTATATAAAATTGCTATGCAAAAAACAGCTAGGATGAATAAATCATAACTATATAAGTAGATTAAACACTATTAACAGGAAGAGTGTTTACAGAAGAGTGTTTTTTTTATTTCCTATTATTATTACTTATTCATCTGTTATGTTTTATTTATTTTAATTTTTTTAACTTTTGTTATTTCTTTTTGGGGTTTATTATCTGGGGGCTGAAATCAATTGTCTTCAGACTTTTCTACTTATTAAAAAAAAGAGGAGGAGGAGATGATGAGAAACAAGATAAACATGTGGTTATTTGATTTGATAAAAAAATATAAACACAATAAAAGAATAAAATATATCAGGAATAATGATATATTTAAATGAATGGAAGTATTACAATAAGAAATACAGCTATCTGTAAGATATTATAAAACAACACAAAGCATTTTGTACATTCTTTAAAAAGTTTACAAAATAAAAATGACACTAGTATTTTCTAAAAGAAAAAGTTTAAAAACAAATGAAAGGAATATTGAAATGTCATTATATTTAACTGAAACAAACAGAACAATATTTTACAAAAAAGATAAAAGATGCCTGAAGTAATTGAAATTGGTAAATTATTCCTTTTATTATCGCTTATAGATGTATTATTAAATGTAAATAATTTATATTTGTGGACTGAGGAGTTATGTAATAATAAGCCCAAAATATATTTTTGAAATGTAAATATTAAACATGAAAATATTTTTCTTGTTCTAATACTATTCTGTGAGAATTTAAGTAATAAAATGAATGATTAATCCAATTTCAATTTTATTAGACATCTGAAGATAAATATACTTGTTACAATAATTTTAAAAATATGATGATTTAGAACATTTAAAGTAACATAGTTATAAAATAATATAGAAAAAAATTATATAAAAAATGAATAGAAGCAAAGATGAAAAAAGAAATAATTTTTTAATGTATTAAGAAACTAACAATTAATGAGCAATTAAACTATTTTGACATCATTACAATGCTGGGCTGCAATTTTTAATCATATTTTTAATTTATTTAATTTAAAATATTAGCTTTTCTCAAATTAATAGTGTCGTTCTTATACATCATACTTTTCCTGTTATAATGCCAGTCATCTAACTCCTTTCAGGGGAAAATTTTTGAATTAAAATAATATGACTTCCAATCCAAGTTGGAAGTTCATATATAGTTAATTGGGGCCACCTGCCGCTAAGCTTTTTATATCTGGTCTCAACTTTCATCTATCTCGCTCCATTCTCGGGATTAAGGGAGGACAGACAGAAACAGTGGGAGTTTATAAGGTCTACAAGGTTTTCAAATTACAGCCCAAAAACATAGGCATCAGAATTAATTTTTTCAAAATGAAACCAGAGAGCCACAATTTACAGCTTGAATTTACATATCAATTAGTAAATTCAATTTTACAAAAAAATAAATAATATGGACAACAAAAAATTGGCAGTTTGACTACTATGGTAGCAGGGTAGACTTATGAAATTTATGCTTTGTTATAGACAAAGATCTTTCAGAATTTATTAAGTAGAAACAATAAATGGAATATTAACAACTATTAGAAACATTTACAAAACAATAACTTTAAAATGAGAGAATTAAATATATTTAACTTCAGAATTGAGATAGGAAATGAGAATATTCTTAAACCTAACATTTGAGGAATTTACTTGATGAAAATAACAGATCAAATAAAAATATACGATAGCAAGTGACTATCACATGTTCAATGTATATTTTAATTTCATTAAGTAATCTCTTTAGTTTAAAATTAAGAATTCATAAATGCTTGTTATATAATTAAGGATATCAAAATCACATTTAAACAACTAGTTGTATATTATAGTGACATTGTCACAATGCTGAGCTGCAATTTCTGATCATATTTTAATTAAAAAAAAATCGTATGACTTCCAGTTCAGACTGGAAGTTCTTATGTAGTTAATTGGGTCCTCTGGTCCTTAAGCTTTCTTTATCTGATCTTTATTTTCATCTGTGTAACTGTTTTTGAGATAAAGGAAGGACAAACAGATGGATGACGGTGGGAATCTATAAATAAATCTATTTAGCTAACACAATATTTAAATTAATTATCTAATTTTAATTATGCAAAGCGCATCAACGAAGAGCAAAGCAATCTGTTAAAATAAAACAAATTTTTGTTATATTATTATCCAATTATCTATATATATAAAAATGAGTGTGTGTGTGTGTGTGTGTGTGTCTGTCTGTCCTTCATGCATTACCACACCGTTTATCCGATTGCCGTGAAACTTTGGGAAGTTGTTTAATATACTCAGGCGAAGGTTTGTGGCATAGTATGATTGCCATGAAACTTTGGAAAGTTTTTTTAATTTTTTAATACACTCCCGCGAAGTACATTTATCCTACGATAGATGGCACGCGTTTACACGAGCATTCGCGCACAGTGTGTTCGATCGATTTCAAATTGTGAAGACCATTTCCCCCCTTCAAAAAATATCTCTATATATGCATTTGTGAACTGTTATTTACGATATTTTTAATAATTTTTGTTTAATCACTTTATTTCAACTTTTTTTTTGCTAATTACGTAATCGCTCGAACTTTGTTAAAGCCTTAACTGTATCACGAACAACAACCGAAGTTGTAGAAGGAAATTCGCCTATTTTACCGATCTAGGGATCCCCCTTTTCCAAATTTTAATATCGACTCAAAATAATTTAAAAAGACAAATTACAATAAAACGGTTTATTATCCAACTATCAGAAATTTCACAACATGCCAAGGAAGAGAGGAAGGAGCAATTAAATAATTAA